ACGAGTTTACTCCTTGCATTAACTGAGCTTGAAACTTCACATACATCGTTTGCCTTCAATCAAAGGGGGCAACATTCGCGACCCACTCGTGACCGGGACAAGCCGAATAGCGACTCGTGCCCCCATGGAAGAATTTCATATTGGCGCATGAACATCAGAACAGCTTTAAAGAAGAACGATAACTGCGTTTATTTTGTTGACAGTTACATAGACAGATTCTTTCATACAAATGCATACAATCGGTGATTTACAATGTGATTAGGTTGTCTGACAAAACATCCACTTGCACAGTTTGAGATCGATTGGATCATTGGATGAAGAGATATTTACAAAAAACCGGGTCCACATGCATTTCATGCCAAACTATAGTTAGCGTTGCCATCCATAAATACAGGTCTTGTAGCAAGAGGATGATTATCAAAATGTGGGACAACAACTGGATCCAGTAACTCCTGGATATAGTGATAACCGTACCATGGCGGAACCTCCGCCAAAGGCAGCATTTGGTTGATTGGATTTTTTTGCTGCAATTGCTGAATTTGGCTGACTCCAAACGCTCAATCGTCCATCAGTTACATGAAGAAGGAATCGGCTTTCATCAGGCCAATGTGTTCTTGGCCAAATCCTCAGATTCCAGCGTCTCCGTGGTAAACACCAAGCCAAACGCGCTTGTTGGTGATGCTCACTCCGTAGAGGACGTTTGATGACCTTTCTAGACTTGTACCCGACTCTCCTTTGGCGATTTCGGACTGTTCTCGTAGATACCCTGGTGCCTGTTGCGAATGGTTGTTGTCGAGTGAACCTCAATAGTCTTCACGATCTGACGTCACCCTTGGATTCCTTGTATTTTCTGACCAAACGGCTGACAACGGTGTAGTTGACATTCACTTCCCGACCAATAGCTTTAAAGGAAATATCGGAGTCGTGCATACCTGAAAGATGTACCCCATGCAGATTAAATACCGACATGTTGCACTCGCAATAACTGCACTTATTCGTTGGTTTGCTTCGTGGCAAGCTCCACACGGTGTATTCGGGACACACGTCCACTTGCAAGTCCACTTGCACTTATTTTCTGAAATGAACATTATGAACATACGTATCATCATACGTGGTGGCGCGTGGTCCTGTGCTGAAAGCTCAGGTCACAAATCGGTGAAGTTAAGCAGCGTCGAGATCGGAGAGTCCTTGGATGGGTGACAACGAAGCACATGTGGTTTCACCTTAGGCAAATGAGTTTGTTCAAAATTGTCTCTGTTCACCCAGCTGGAAAATGGGTACCCGGTGGAAAAAAGTCATATGACTATGACAGCTTGGGTTATCCGGGGTAATAATGTGCTGTGCCTTGATTGTTAGCGATATGAGCATACCTAGTGTGGAGTTATATAAATGGACCAATTGTAATTATTATTATCATACACAAGTTGAACACAGTTCTCTTAGCGGTCAACTGATTTAGGGGAGCTTAACATTTTTCCAGGTGAAAATGTGTGTGTGTGTGTTTGTTTGTTTGTTTGTTTGTTTGTTTTAATAATTATTTACTGTCTATTCCCATCTGATCCACTCGGTCATCAATCCTGAACACACAACTGATTACTGCTTGTACCAAGTGTGACTCACATGGCTACAATGTGTGAAGCCGATCGGTGTCCCCCGCCGTGATATTGCTGGGTGGGCACAATGTGTTAAGCCCATTTCTGGTGTCCCCCGCCGTGATATTGCTGGAATATTGCTAAAAGCGGCGTAAAACTAAACTCAGTCAGTCAGTCAGTATTGCTGGGATGTTGCTAAAAAGCGGCGTAAAGCCATACTCACTCACACAAAATATCTTTACCAACACCTCGTCCGAGACAGTCCAACTGACAAAATAACAATGTAATTCATACAATGAGTGTGATAACTGGTATTTCCTTATAGAATAATGGTAGTTCCACCTCAGTGAAAGCTGTTGTCAAGTTTCTCATATATGTTTCTGCATTTAATGTACAGATTAATAATTTAGAAAAAAACATTAATTAGAATAGTGTGTGTGGGGGAGTGAGTGAGTGAGTGAGAGAGTCACACACATACACGCACGTGCGCGCGCACACACACATTCACATTGACGATTTAGTGAATGTATGCGTTCTGTCGGTAGTCGAATCTGATTGTGATTGACGATTGTGTATCATTCTACTCAGAAGGCGATGTGCGATGTTCATACTATCGGTCATTACTCTGCTTCGGCAAGACGTGATTATTTATATGCACTGACACGGATGAACTACAAGTGACAGAAAAACTGAAATTAAACAACATGCTCGTTTTGGCTAAAAAGGGAGGGCACACTACCACAATTTTCTTGGCATATCGCACAGGTCTAACAGAGTAGCCTCCCTTGAAAGAAGTGAAGCACTTATAAAATACCAAATATAACGTGTCACTCCACATTTTACACGAGACCAGCGTTTTGTTTTAACGTTTTGAAGCTAAGTTCCAACACCAACAGGTGCTCATTCTTTAGAATATATTAAAATATAACTGAATCTTTGAAACATTTGACGCTTGCCATCTGCGAGAAAGGGCACATTAGTTTTTTCATACTTTGCGAGGCATAATTTAGTTTTCACTGAATCGTAATTTCGCCATTCCTTTAAACATTTAATTCTGCATCAAGACAACCCCAGCGTTCTTGTGAAAACAAGGTCCTGTGGCGCGCATCACAGATATAGAACTGGGTTCTTCGTGCTGCCAAATATTCCTTACGGTACATTGTTATTTTGTCATAATTAAAAGGTTTTATTAAAGCTTAATCAAGCATAGTGATGTTGTTGTGTTTTGGCTTTATAAATCAAGCATTAACTCGATTATAAGTAGTTGTTGTAAAAAAAATATTCTTGCAATATATTGCAATACATATCGCAACATATGCCTTCGCATCGCAATATATCGCAATATGCAACTTCTCTGCAATACCCACCCCTACATGACATACAACTCCATTTTGATTGGGGTAGTTTTTATCTCTCCAGGATGCACGAACAGAGTCTCATAATGTCAAGTGTATTGTAACGCCAAACAGGGGGAGGGTATGGTATTCGATGCTCAGAGTCACTAAAATATGTACCCTTGTGCATGCGAAAGTACAAGTGTAGAATTTACATAGTCCCATTGATAACCTGGTAGCGCGAGTTTGTTTACAAAACATGTCTAAATTCCGCCCCCTAATTTGCATTACACTAACGAGATCGCTTGTTACTCCAAGAAAATATATTGCTGATAAGTGATAATTGTAGGGAATACGTGTTAAGATAATTAACTTGTGATATGTAAACTATTGTGTTCAGTGTAATTCGCTTGAAATTAAGACTTCTGTGCTTCGCGTCTAGCTCATAGCAAACGTCAGCCATACTGACATTACAATGTACTTGTTCCTGATTGGTCAGTTCTTGGGGAGGACCGTCCTTTAACCTCTGACCCGATATTCCTTGCATATATAATTAGCTAGCTGATGTTTACTAATGGCTAGACTTGGCATTGGTTTCTGAACCCGCGAAACTTATACTTTCCATAACTCCGAAACTTTTGGAACAACAACTAAATTTTTTTATAAAAACGTACAAGATGTATTTCAAGAACAATAATAATTTATTAATACAGTAACATATCTACATATATACACTTAAAAAGACACTTAGAAAAATACTCTAAATCGGTGCATCCCGATCGTCACTACCTACATAGTACCAAGTGACTGCTAACTCTAATTAGAAATTCCCCAAATTCATTATTACTAATTCTTATGAGTCCTGGTTGACATTTACAAATTACTTACATAAAATATACTGAGTCTGACTGTTCTGCCATCCTCACCTCTTTACTTTGTATCGAGTCCTGCGTATGTGTAAAAAATCAAACATAATTAAAACACAATTATCACTTATTTATGACATATAATATACATTGCTGGTTACGAAAAAATATATAAACAAAATTATAAGCGTACAATCGCAAATCGAAAGTGCAAAATTGTGTACTTCGGTTTACTTCCCAAGAAACGAAGCAGCCGGGATACCGAACCCAGTCAGAGCGGGTGGGTGTGCACTCAAGTGTAACGGCTGGTTCATTTGCAGATGCCTTCACGGCTAATTGTGTGTATATATATAGAGAGATGTTGGGTTGTGTAAATACATGCTCTTTTTTTGTGTATAACATTTTGCAATCAACAGACATCATAACATGTCATGTGTTCAAATATCACACATGCCTGTCTGTGTAATTACATAATGTGACAGAGACCGAACTCGGGCCATAAATCAATGCATTTTGTTTATGGTGTATAGCCTGATTGGTGTTAAGTTCAAATTGCATGTGGTCAGTGATAGCAGCTGTGTATTGAATATTGTCATTAGCAGACAGGCAGGCAGACACACAGGTGTCAATGAAACAAGACATTGAGTTTTGTCTGTGACAACGACATATCTATATCACAGTTAGAAATTCTGTCAACGCTAAAAAATGACATTGCTTTTAAGTATCGAATTGAGAAAGTGTCTCGGTAAGAAGAACGTGTGGTGAAATGAAAATTATATAAACAGTTAATTTACTGTCATAACACATAAAAGCTGGCGCCTGTGAGATATCAACAAAACAATAGAAAAATAGCTCACACCAAAGCCTTCACCGAGTATTCACCCGACAACCCGCTTCCAAACTGCGCGAACCTATTTACTTGCGCACGTGCTATGAGCGCAGCCCAGCTGTTGAAACCCGTTTTCCCCAGAAAAGTCTGGGGAAAATTAGTGAAACGTTTGAACTCCGATTTCGCGCGGTTTTTTTCATCGCGTTATTTTTCAACTTTATAAGTTTGAATTTGCATTTTTGACGATTTGTTTCGGTATGTCCATACCGAAAGGTATCAGAATCTGCAAAGTTGTGTTTTACGTTGCATGTGACCTTTAATGCTTCCAAGAAATGCAGGCAGATTTACGGTAGCGTCTCCCTTTTATTCTTATTACAATGACGTCACAATCGAAATGCACCCGCTGCAGTGACCACGTGACCATGCGAGAGATTCGTAAACAAAGATGGCGGCACCCATAAAACAACCTGTCATCCCTACGCTGTTTGACGATTCTAACAACTATAGGGCTTACGTACATATCGTATTCTGACAGTAAGGTAATAAATGTATTCTCTCTATACTTGAGAAATAGTTTAAAGATGTACAATCGCTTCCTAAAGTCATAATCTAACCTAGGACTCTACCGGAAGTATGATGGAATCTAATCTTCTGTTGGCGTCCACCACTCTACTATGGATAGACTAATGTGGCGGACGCCATGGCCACCAGGGATCTCTTCCTTCCGTTCTTCTTGGCGATGTCTTCTGACCCCTGGTGGCCAGTTAAAAAGATTATTTGGATCCTTTCTACGTCTTTCTTCCCTCTCCCTCCTCTCTCTGTCCTCTCTCTCTCGTCTTATCTTGTCCTCTTTCTTCTTTCTCTCATCTTCTTTCTCCTTTTCCCTTCGCTCCTTCTCTTCCTTCTCCTTTTTCTCCTTTTCCTTCCGCTCTTCCTCTTTCTTTTTCTCCTCCTCTCCTTCCACTCTTCTTTTCTTTGTTTCTTTCTCTTCTATCTGTTCCTCCTTTTTCTCCTCCTCTCTGATCACCTTCCCCCCCTCTTCTTCTACTCTTCTCTTCTTTCTTTCCTTGTTTCCTTCTCTTCCTCTATTTCACTTTCCTTTTTCTGTCCCTTGAAATTTCCTGATGAAGAGGAAGATGATGAGGATGATGTGGAGGATGAGGACGAGGAGGAGGAGCTCCGGGTTTGCTTTTCCTCGTCCTCACTCTCAGAGGAGGAAACAAATTCCCTAGACGGGAACTTCTTGGTCGACAGGGGCCTCCTAACGGTAAGGTTGCTGTCTACCTCTCGCTTGTGGAGGTTCTGTTCTGAGATCCGGTCGGCCGAGAAGTTGCACTCATTACAACTTGCATCATTCCCGTGGGATATAGAGACATTGTTGACACGTCCGCCAATAGTAACAAATACCTTTTCGCATTTTATGGTTCTCCCAGGGGCAGTCATCTGGAAAAGAACAGAACGCAATATAGTTCCAAACAGTCCTGGTGCATATTTAACATATACTTGTGGTTCCCTCCCCAATCAGTTCAGTTGGTACTTGGTAACTAGTTATAGAATATAGTCTTCAAGATATCTTGGGCGCTTACGAGTACGCTTAGAACCATAACCACAAACCTCTTCTGCCGGAGAGTGGTCCTCTATTAAAGGTAAGTCGTCTGCAAAAACTTCGCTGTTGATTTCCACGGGGAAATTTGGTGCTGGTATGGTATTAACCTTATGTGTTTCCTCACGGGAAATAGCTGGCTTCATACGGTCAACATGTATTATTTGAGGTTTACCTCTCAATCCACAATTGACACGATAATTGACTTCACTGAGTTCGCTGTTAATTGAAAGGGTCCTTTCCAAAAACATTGCAGTTTTGGGCATGTGCCTACTTTCCTATGGGGGAAGTAAACCCAAACTTGACTTCCTACTTTATATGCTGAAGATTTTGTATGTTTGTCGTAATACTTCTTCTGCCTCAATTGATTTTGTTCCAGGTGCTTCCTAGCCAGGACAAATACATCCTCTAGATGTTCCTTTACATCATTTACCCATTGATGCGTTGAACTGATATCCTGAATTGGAAGTCCTACAAACATATCAACTGGAAGATTGATTTCTCTCCCTAGCATCAATAGATTTGGGGTGAAATGTGTACTTTCATGAATTGTGGAGCGGTAAGCCATAGTTAGATAAGGTAAATAGAAGTCCCAGTCTCTCTGATTTTCGCTTACAAAAGCACTCAACATAGCCTCCAACGTCCTATTGAACCGTTCTACAATTCAGTCGGACCTTTTGGGGTGGTCCTGGCTTTGTCAATGTTAAGGAGTTGACACATGCCTTGGAACAATTTTGACTCGAATTGTCTCCCCTGGTCAGTATGGATTTGTCTAGGTACACCAAATCTTGTGATGAAATTTTATATCAAAGTTTCAGCCACTGTTTTTGCCTCTTGGTTTGGCATTGCATATGCTTCTACCCATTTTGTGAAGTAATCTGACACAACTAAGGTATAGATGTTCCCATTTCAGTTTCTGGAAGTGGGCCTACAATATCCATTTCCACCCGTTTTAGAGGGACTCCAGCCCCGGACAACTGCATCAGACCTTGACGTTTCCTTGGAGGAGGCTTACGGTTACAACAGGCATCACAAGACCGAATCCATAACTCTACATCCTTACGGAGTCCACACCAGTAATATTTCTGCCTTATCTTCTCTACTGTTTTCTTGACCCCTAAATGACCTCCAGTCAAACTATCATGAGCTTGCTCAAGGATTAACTTTTGTTTATTTTTAGGAATTAGAGCTTGAAGCTTTATTTCCTTCTGCTTTGTCTCAAATTTTCTGCAAAGTACACCATTGTTAATGGTTAACTGATCCCAAAATGCGCAATACAGCTTAATAGCCTCACTGCACATTGAAATTTCTGACCACTTAGGTTTATGACCCTTTTCTAGAAAAGTCAGTACTTTTCCTATGTCCTGGTCCTGTTTCTGATTGTCGATTAAGTCCTGTTGACTTGTATCGACCAACTGTAATTGTCAAACTTCCCTAGTTACAGGTGAGTCCTCAGACGTCATACCACACTGTCTGCAAGGAAGGCGAGAAAGGCCATCTGCATTAGCATGTTTGCGTCCTGGTCTATGCTCTATTTCGTATTGGAAAGAAGATAGAGTCTCCAGACACCTAGCTATTTGTCCGCATGGTTCTTTAAACCGAGTCAACCAGGCAAGTGCCCCATGATCAGTCCTTATCAGGAAGGATTTTCCATACAAATAGGGTTTGAAATGTTTGACAAAGTGTACTATAGCCAATAACTCCTTCCTGGTGACGCAATAATTTCTTTCTGGTTTTGTCAGTGTTCTACTGGCATAAGCAATTGGCCTTTCAACTCCATCCTGTACCTGACTCAGAACCGCACCTATTGCAAAATCGCTCGCATCTGTGTCGAGGATGAATGGTTTGGTGAAATCAGGATGGGCCAAAATGTCGGCACTGATGAGTTTACTTTTAAGATGTTCAAAAGCGATTGAACATTCCTGAGTCCAATTATATGCTCTGTCTTTCTCGGTCAACTTATGCAGACAAGCTGCAACCTTAGCGAAACCAGAGATGAAGCGACGGTAGTAGCTACACAAACCCAGAAAACTTCTAAGTTCCGATACATTCTTCTGACTTGGACAGTTTTTGATTGCTTCTACCTTCTTAGGGTCAGTGTGAACACCTTGTGCATTTACAATGTGACCTAAGTATTCCACTTCCCTTTTGAGCAAATGACATTTCTTAGGTTTCAACTTTAACCCAGCTTCCCTAAGTCTATCAAACACTTGCTTCAGGCGTCTGAGTGCCTCATCAAAGTTGCTGCCAAACACAATAATGTCATCCATATAAACCAGACATATTTCCCATTGAAGACCCATGAGTACTGTTTCCATTAACCTCTCAAAAGTTGAGGGTGCATTTGTAAGGCCAAATGGAAGGAGTTTGAATTGATACAGTCCTTGACGAGAACAGAAACTAGTGATGGGACGATCATCGGGGTGGACTTCTACCTGCCAGTAGCTGGACGTTAAGTCCAGGGTACTGTACCAACTGGAACCAGCTAACGAGTCTAAAGAATCGTCTATTCTCGGTATCGGATAAGCATCGATCACGGAACGACTGTTCACCGATCGAAAATCCACACAAAATCTTGTAGTTCCGTCTTTCTTCTTAACTAGCACAATAGGAGAAGCCCAAGGACTATTGGAAGGTTCTATGACATCTTTGTCTAACATATCCTGAATATGTTTCTTAACCTCTTCCTGACTATGGACTGGTAACCTCCTAACTGGCTGTTTAATGGGTTGAGGATTGTCTAGCAAAATTCTATGTTGGACAAGGTTGGTTCTCCCTATGTCCGTTGACGAAGCTGAGAAGATGTCCTGACATTCAGTTATTAAAGTTTTAAGCTTAGAGCTCTGCTCCGGACCTAGGTCTGCAACAGCTTCTTTTGCCATTTCTTCTAAGTATTCAGGTAATTCTGAATTTACTTTCTTAATGTTCCTCACCTGTCCAGGTTTATTGGACTGCACTGCTTGGACATGATCTATTGGAAAACATTCTGCAAAATGAGTTCCCGAATAAATTTTGATATCCTCCTCAGATGGATTGAGCACCCTGACAACTACCTCAGCTTCATTTTCGGAGGCGCAAGTCAGAGTTCTAGCTACAAATAACAGCTTTTGGACATAAAAGACTGGCTCCCTTCAATGACATAGTCTTTTTTTTACAGCTTTTGGATTGTCAGTGAGAATTTGACCTGGTAGAATCATCTCATGACGTGCAGGGATACTTATTGTTTTCGGACAGGATACACGAAAGCAGAAATCTGTCTCTCTCTCGTCTTCACAAGGCAAGCTATTTTCCCCGATCTCAAGGGATCCATCTCCCATATTCAGATTACATGCATTCTCTTTCAGAAAGTCCAGTCCAAGTATGCCCTGATTTCCTATTTCAGCCACCCAGAACTCATGTTTACAGGTGTGTTTTCCTAAGCTTATATGGAAAAGTCCTTTTCCCAGAAGGCTCAATGGTTTTCCATCTGCCTGTAATATCCTCTCAGAAGAAGCCTCTAAACTAGGTTTCCTATCTTTGAGAATTTGTGAATAACTTTTCACAGACATTAATGACACAGATGCCCCGGTATCTATCAACATGGAGAACTTTGAACCATTAACGACAACAGGAACACAGATCCCGGAAACATCATTATTATCATTTATTTTACAACTGGGTCCTTCTTTTACAGCCTTACTCCGACCCGTGAGTGTGGCTGACTCTAGTTTCCCGATTTCTGTCTGAACAGAACCGGACAGTCACGTTTGTAATGACCTTTTGATTGCAGTGAAAACATTCTATATCCATGTGCTTATTGAACGACCTCCTCTTATTTTGTATTCCCGAGGAATTACCCTGAGTTACTATCTGAGTGAGACTTGCCACTGCCTTAGTCAAGTCAGACACCTGAGACTTTAAATCCTCGTTTCTAGTATCCTCTATCACCCTGGCCAGCTTACGTCCTCCCTGACGTTGAATTTCAGCATGATGGAAAGCCTCCAACTCCACAGCTAACTGCACAGCCTCATCTAGGGTTCTAGGTCTAGATTGTTGTACTCTTAGTCTCATATCTGACTCCTGAAGTGCCTCGATAAAGTGATCCTTAGACAAGATTTCTACCAGTTCTGTACCAGCATCAGGGTACGCCATGCAAGCAAGTCTTCTTATATTTTGTCCCAACTCAGATAAAGTTTCATCTCTGTGGCTAGTTCTACTTTTCAGCTGTACTTTGTACAATTCCGTCTGATTACTAGGAGCAAATCTCTGTCTCAAGGCTTGTACTAGCCTGTGATAATCAACTCTATGAGCAGAAGGTAAGTTTCCCAACACCTGTTGAGCAGAACCACGCAGCTGGACAGCAAGGTAAGTAGCTTTTTGGACTTCATCCAATGGTTTAATTCAGCTACCATTTCAAAATGGACTTTAAAATCATGAAAGCAGCTCTGTCCATCAAAAGTCATGGGTAAAATAGTTGGTTTATCCCGGACAACCCATCGTTCAGAGTTAGAGATCCCATTAGATCCTGCCATCATTGATATCCTAGAAGTTGGTCGGTCCTCTAGCAGACTATCAATAACTTCCCCACAGTTTGTCTTTCCCTGAAACTGGTCATCCATAAAACTGAGACGACGCTTTGTCTCTAATTTACCCAGTGGAATTCTGGGGCCCACAGCAATTCCACTAACCTCACCCGGCCTCCTAGGTGAAATCCCTCTTAGTATATCCTGGCCTATCCGGGAGATGTAACCACTCCCAATTTCTCTATCTCTGCCAGAACCAGCTGGTATCTTAGAAATTATCTCGCCAGATTCACTAAGAGTAACCTGTACTTCCCTTGCTTGACTTCCTGACATGTCCAAATCATGTTGAAGAAAAGCACTAGAAGAACAATGGATTGGAACTTTATCCTGGTGCTCGGCCATTCTATTCCCAATAGAATTTTCACTAAAAGCCAATCCCCACCAACTTATTTTATCCACAAGTACAATAAATCACTTCAACTCCAAGGGATGAAATCACAAAAAGTTTACAGCTCTCCAAGACAGATCCAAGGTACAAAAATATTTACAAGAATTATCTACAGGAACTCCAAGATCTTCCAAAGAAGAACTCTACAAATTATTCACAAAGAAGCTAACTTCTTGACTATGCACAAAATAATCACAGACAATTACAGTGATTGCAGTCCAAGGAAATGAGAATAATTACAATTACAGAGTCCAAGAGAATCCAAATTTATCCACAAGACCAGGGAACTGGAAACTGTAACAATAATTTGCCAGAACTTGTTACAACAACATACCATTTACATTTCTAACTAATTCCCTTGACGAAATACATACTCCGCAAGAAACGATCTAAAAATAGACAACACAAAACATTATCACTTTCCTAATATTATCAATCCCACCGCTGCCACCAAAAATTTATGTAACGCAAAACAGGGGAGGGTATGGTATTCGATGCTCAGAGTCACTAAAATATGTACCCTTGTGCATGCGAAAGTACAAGTGTAGAATTTACATAGTCCCATTAAGTCCCATTAGTCTAAATTCCGCCCCCTAATTTGCATTACACTTACGAGATCATTTGTTACTCCAAGAAAATATATTGCTGATAAGTGATAAATGTAGGGAATACGTGTTAAGATAATTAACTTGTGATATGTAAACTATTGTGTTCAGTGTAATTCGCTTGAAATTAAGACTTCTGTGCTTCGCGTCTAGCTCATAGCAAACGTCAGCCATATTGACATTATAATGTACTTGTTCCTGATTGGTCAGTTCTTGGGGAGGACCGTCCTTTAACCTCTGACCCGATATTCCTTGCATATATAATTAGCTAGCTGATGTTTACTAATGGCTAGACTTGGCATTGGTTTCTGAACCCGCGAAACTTATACTTTCCATAACTCCGAAACTTTTGGAACAACAACTAGAAACTTTGTATAAAAACGTACAAGATGTATTTCAAGAACAATAATAATTTATTAATACAGTAACATATCTACATATATACACTTAAAAAGACACTTAGAAAAATACTCTAAATCGGTGCATCCCGATCGTGACTACCTACATAGTACCAAGTGACTGCTAACTCTAATTAGAAATTTCCCAAATTCATTATTACTAATTCTTATGAGTCCTGGTTGACATTTACAAATTACTTACATAAAATATACTGAGTCTGACTGTTCTGCCATCCTCACCTCTTTACTTTGTATCGAGATGTTAGCCTACTTGCACCAGGTGCAACCTAAGATAAAAACCTAGTTGCACTGGCCAAATTCCAGTTGCACTGCTTTTATTGCAATATGTAATGAAAAAATAATACATTTTGCAACTGTATCGATACTTAGTTTTGAAAGAATCGATTTAAATATGTTTATGTATCGTTTACATTTTGCAATTATATCATGTTTTTTTATGAGAGTTATAGGGGGCGGTGGGGTAGCCTAGTGGTTAAAGCGTTGGCTCGTCACGCCGAAGACCCGGGTTCGATTCCCCACATGGGCACAATGTGTTAAGCCCATTTCTGGTGTCCCCCGCCGTGATGTTGCTGGAATATTGCTAAAAGCGGCGTAAAACTAAACTCAGTTATGAGAGTTATAAATGATTATTTTTCATGCACAAAGATGGGAAGTTAAAACTTTTTGATCTCTGAGAATAAAAAATGTTGATCTTTTCATGGACAGTTATATAATATGAAATATTAATGTTCAAAATCTAACTAAATTTATGCAATAATTCCGTGAAAATAGGTATCGTGATACGTATCGAATCATGACATGGGTATCGTGATACGTATCGATTCATGAAACTTCTTCTATCGGTACACCCCTAGTATGGACATCATGCATGTCTACACATGTACGAGTGTGTTGCTGCATTAGGCCAGACTAATGCCGTCTTTTAACATAGGCTGTTGGAGTGAGTTAATTAACACCGCTTTTAGCAATATTCCAGCAATATCACGGCGTGCGACACCAGAAATGGGCTTGACACATTGTACCCATGTGGGGAATCGAACCCAGGTCTTCGGAGTGACGAGCGAACACTTTAACCACTAGGCTACCTCACCGCCCAAAAGGTTGTTCGAGATTAGACTAACATCTAGTCTCTGTAAAGCATATTTTACAGGAAAAACTGTCCCTACAGTAAATAATAATCATAATTATAAATAAAAAGTAGTCCACAGACGTTCTTCATTTTCAGAAAATGAAACTGTATTTATCTGAATGAGTAAGTTTAGTTTTACGCCGCTTTTAGTAATATTCCAGCAATATCATGGCAAGGTACAGCAGAAATGGGCTCCAAAACTTAGCCAAAAATAGCCTCCCAAGTTCATGGGTTCAGCGAGATTGATCTACTGTCTGATTATTTAATCAACTGCTCGAGAACTACCCTGAATGTTTTGGTGTATTTCACACCAGAAACAAAATGTCAGTTATGTGACCTACAAATTACAATTTTAATGAAGTCTAATGGTTTATATAGTCACGCTGTTGACCCTCTTTACACTATAAGCACTGTGCTGTTTATCTTAAAACCATACAATCCTGACTTCAATGATTGGGGCACTCTTGATTAGGTTACCATCAAAGGTACTGTTGGTACAATACAAATACATCGAGAAATAGCAGTCAGTGTTATCGGTTCACATCAGGGCAGTTCCTTGAAACTTGATATTTTTAAAGTAAAACGATATCAATTTGGGAACAACTTGATACCTGTTATCTTGAACCTAGAAACTTTTTGTAACTTTTAGATAGCTTCACATTTGAGGTAAGGAGCCATGAACATCACAACAGATCAAGTGAGTGAGTGAGTGGTTTTAGTTTTACGCCGCACTTAGCAACATTCCAGCTATATGGCGGCGGTCTGTAAATAATCGAGTCTGGACCAGACAATCCAGAGATCAACAGCATGAGCATTGGTCTGCGCAATTGGGAACCGAAGACATGTGTCAATCAAGTAAGCAAGCCTGACCACCCGATGCCGTTAGTCGCCTCTTACGACAAGCATATAGACGCCATTTGTGGCAAGCATGGGTTGCTGAAGACCTATTCTACCCCGGATCTTCACGGGTCACAGATCAAGTGACAGCATTAAGATACTTCAGAAGAAATTAAAAATATCTGCATATACAATGACAAATTGAAATGAATTTCGCCGGTCCTGGGTAATATAAATTGCCACATACTGAACACAGTGTACACAATCTTATTTAGCAGGGACAACGACAAATCTGACCCAATGTCACCTGCTTTCATAAACCCATACAGGGCCTCAAATGAGGTCAGTGGAGGGCCTCAGAGGTCACAGGTACATCAGATGGGCTATTCCTACACTGACAGCGGCCCTCGTGATACGCACTGCATGTATAATACGTTGAGTTTGGATAATATAAAGTAGTATAGAGGCCTTTATAGGGTCAAAATCTATTTTTAGCTATGGGGCTTTATAGGGTCAAAATCTATTGTTAGACTTCACATAGTCTATTTTTAGATGATGAGTCACTGCTCTCTATTGTATATTGAGATGGTGTGAACACCTGGTGTGTCTATTTTTAGATGATGAGTCTTTGTCTCAGGTCTATATTGAGATCTATTGTGAGCACACCTAATGTGTCTATTTTTAGACTCGGGTGGGTATATAAAGGCCCCCAAACGGCCTCATGTCATACTCAGTTCAGTCATTAGTGGATATACATTCAAGTGATTTCACACATTGTGGATATACCAGAGTGCATTTCTCATTGGATTATACTGTGTACACTGGATTACTAAACAACCTTGGATTATACTGTCTACTGGATATATATTTTCATCAGCCTCTCAACTATACATCAACAGAACATCAAGGTAAGTTACCCTTCACATTTGTGGAAACATCAGAACAGGGAATTGAAGCAACTTACCTCATGTGATCCATAGGAAATCCTCAGCACACATACGTCCATGAGCACATATGTCCATGAACAGCACAATTTCACTTAGAATAGTTCCATGAACAGATCGATTCACGCACATATCAATTGTATCCACACATATTTCCATGAATACATATATGCATTGTTTCCTGCAGTACACCTATGTCCATGAATGGGTATATCCATTATTGAGGCAAACAGTGGTG